CAAAGACCGTTTACAGTAACAGTGCACACCCTCGTGGTCACTGTATTTAAAAACCCGTCCTCAAGGTCCAATAAATATTATGATATTAAAGGATATGGAAAACTGTAATTTTTTTTTATTTTTTACCCGTCCATAACAAAATATTTCATAATTTCATCCAAAATCACTGAGCTGTTTCTTGTTTTTTTTCTATTTTACAAAAAAATGCACCTTTTATTATGTGTATAAATTAATTGATACATTTAAAAGTATCGTGTGTCATTACTATACTATTATTATTTATTATACAAATTAAATTTGTTACCTCATTATATTGACGCATGTAATATTTAATTTTATTACACCTGACATATTATTACTTATAAAAGGGTATAGAAAATATGTCGAATAGATAAACATACATTTTGCCAACGTTATTACAGTAAACATTTTTTTTTAAAAGTTTGAATTTTTTAACAGCGCGTCAAGTATTAACTCATATATTTTACAATTCGTACATGTATCAAGTGTCTTGTGATTGTATAAAAAAATATATAACACATAAACGCCCAAACTCTGGTTGTAGTTACCTTTCGTAACAGCTCACGGTGTACAGACAAAATGTGCACATTTAAACTTAAAGCAACGCCGTTGTCACGTGCCCCCCCCCCCCCGAAATTTGTGTTCTTAACAGCAAGTGCCCCTCATCCGAAAAATGAATTTCTTCCTACGGTAAACAATCCTTAAAAATCAATACGGTGTGTGTGCTGTATTGTTGTCGCGTTTAATAATTATTATTATCGAGCGTGCTCAGTACTTACACCGAGTGCGCGGCGTTCACACTTTACACTCAAAAATAATATAATCAACAGGTGGCCGTTTCGATAACAACGGTAGGTATTACCGAGTTGCACACCTCAAGCGACCGGTCGGATGTGTACCAGGGCCTTATAATAATAATAGCACAGTATATAGGTACGTTGAATTATTAATGGCAAGCATAATATTTACTTTGCGCTCGTTATTTTTTTTTATTTCGTTTATGGATAACCCCCCCCCCCCCCACTACGACGGTACCGGAAAGAATAATAATTGATATTTTGTTTGTTATCGCACAAGGGTGAGTGGGGGGGGGGGAAGCTCTTGAAAAATGAATGAAGGCTTCTCCTTAATGAAAATATTTGCCTTCGAACTTGTATTTACAAAAATTATTCTGCCGTAAACGGCGGGGAGGCCATTAGGTGCTTGTTTACATGAACTTGTAATTTTTTTTTCCACAAAAAAAACGTCCGCATAAAAATATCATAATAAAATATGTAGTCTCCACAACTGTGGTCGGGTATGCAGCTGTACAGGTAAATACAAATTCATTTAGTCTCTCGAAATGCCATTATGCGTAGCTGTCACGACAGCTCCATCCAAATCCCCATCATTAACACTTTTCCGTTTTCATGCATATTACTGTGAAAATGTGCCCGTACACACTGATTCGATTACTTGGGTACAATCCGTTTTGGATCTATCTTATACTTCACTAGCCGGAATCTATATGAAACATTTTTAAATCCTTATTAACTTTCTATAACATAATATATTAATACTTATTACAAATAGTATTACCTTTTTGTGTGCGACATCAATTCTGTTGCATTTTTTTCAGCTTGAGTTTTTAACCTTTATTAGCTATGGAAAAAGGAGAGATGAAAAAAGATAGATCCTAGTGCGTAGTAATCCTCTTAAGGAATATAGCGTGAGAGTATAATGTGCCTTTAGGGCTCGGTATGAACTATATTAAAAGTAAAAACCTGATATTTTTATAAGAATTGTACATGGAGTTTCCCAGTGAAAATTGATGTCTTTATAATTGGTTTAATTGTTACTGAAATCGTTATTATTATTTTTTTTTTTTTTTGGTTAGGATAAATCGTTATTTTCACTTTAGGCAGTGATGTGAAAATGTATTATCATTGTCTTCATAATATAATTCGTCAGAGTGGGCAGAAAATGATACATTATTTTTGGTTTGAAAATGTTTCTATTGTTCACGTTTACCTCTCAAAAAGTACCAACAAAATCCGTCGGCAATTATATATTTGACGATCATGAGAATCCACTATATCTGACGGATAGTTTGTTGCCATTCGGTCATCCATTACTTACCGGTTACTGCTGATAATTAATTTGCCGATATGTTTATTTAAAGTACTACTAGATAACGCGGCGCTTGGGTTTATCCCAACACCATTTAGTCAGTTTAGTGGATCAGCAATCCAAACACATCCGACCAAGCATCGCTATCAAGCACTACCTTTTCTAGGCTATCGAGAAGTGTCGAAGCGAACTCATCTGAAGTCTATCAGTTCGCGTCTGAGTACACGATTAGAGAATCTCCAAGTGCGTTAAGACCAAACCGTTAAAAGGTTCTCTCCTTAATAGCGCGCTCCCAAGATGAAATCTCAATCAATTCATACTTCCACTCTCCAAATGTTAACCCCTCAGGTTAAGTTAGAGAGGTTAGTGTTGTCATAGTCATTGACTAGGTGTTGAAACCGATTCTCTTCAGAGGACTTGATTGGTTGTGTTAGGTTAGCTTTGAAAATACACCGTACACGTATGAAATAGCTTGTAAATACAAAAAACTGACTGAAGAAGCCTCAGCCAAATATACTATTACACTTAACCCTACCGGACATAAATTTCGAGTTGACTAAATTAATGTATTTAACTAAGCTTTTGATTATTTATTCGGTCAAGTAAATTGTCTTGCGTAGAATTCAATCACTCTATACATATCATAGTAGGTACTTCAGATTGAAATCTTGGTAAGTCACTATTACTCAGTGGGTGTAACCGAACCCGTTGTGTGATATTATAATATTTATGCGACTTTTTCCCCCCTACTGAAACGCTAATGGTCGATACGGATTTTTATTAAAATTTAAGTGAAGATGTCACAACGCTCATTACCATTTTAATTGAAAAATCTTTTACTCAGTTACCTTCGTGACAGGTTTGTCTTGATTATTTTTTTTTTCTTAAAGCGTACATAATTATTTTATAAACATTTTCATTTTGGTTCCGACATGGCCGATGTCACAATTAATTACAGCTGTATGTATTGTAACGAGCCTCGAGCTGGAGGAAAGCGTAGTGCGTACTAATCTGTCTGGAAAATAATCACCGTCTGCAAACTCAAACCCCCCGAGTTATTGGGAATTTCGCAAGCCCTCGAAGACGATACGTAGTTAAATATATTTTAATCGAATCCAACAAGTTTATATTATGTTACATGGGATAATGGGGGCTTTACAATACTTTCGGCGTTTGAGCGCTCTCATTTTTTTAGACAAAATCGCGCCCCTGACTATACTCTAAAAATTCATAAGAGGACCGTTCCCGTTTTTTTTTCACATTCGCGGTCAAACGTGCAATAATACCTTAGTATTAGTTATTTATTTGAAACTTTTACGCTCTCGGCGGCAAGAATACAGATAATATCTAATAACTAATACAACTAATACATAATTAGTAAAAATAATAATTACTATAAATTACGAGCACGCGTTATTTTCAGCTAAATTAATATTATCAAAACAAAAATCAAAATTATTATAAAAATCATTACACAAATTCAACATGCGATGAACAATATCATTGGTTTCCTTCAATGTCTCTAGGAAATTAAAAAAATATATATTATACACAAAGAAAACGGTTTCGTTTTTTTTTTTAAATCCAGTTTTTTCATTACTCGTTTTTCGCATCCAAATGTGGGCGCATTGATACAAGTTACGAAATCTTGATATATTCATAAATCACAACAGACTTATAAGTTTATTTCTTGATATATTTCCATGTCATTATAAATTACATTTGGATAATCTTTGAATTTTATCGATTGAGACCTATTGGGTCAATGTCAACTTTGATACTTTTCGCCCATATCCGTTTGCATCAGGTATCGATAAACGACTCTAGACCTATAAGTTATACCTCGTCGAGAAGGCAAGTTGGGCACCAATAACATTGGCTCTAATTCATCCCTCTCACTCTCTCTCTCATTCTCCCTCTTTGTGTATAACGCAACCCATAAGGCTAGTAAATTCCTCACGGTGCATAGTGGAAACGCGGAGGTCACAGGTCTGCAGGAATTGTCATAATATCTGAAAGTGATAAAATCACTTTTAAATAAACGCTCTGATGCGAATCTGTGAACAGTAGGTTCAAACCAGTACAGTCTAAACCAATCTATCCCATCTAGGGAAAAAGGGTTTATGATATTGTTTTTAGTTCGTTCATGTTTATCGGTAGTATTACGTTTAAATAATATTCCATACAAATTTGGAACTAATCCGACTATTTGTAAACAAGTTTTAGAGCATCGTAATTTTAAGTTGAAAAATATATACAATTTTTTGGAGGTTTTTTTTTTATTTTTAAGGGGGAAGCGGTGAATTTTTAAAAATTTTAGCCCGATCAAGTACCTTTCAAGTGTGATTTCTGATCTATAGAGTTGCTGTCCAGACACAAAAATAAAAACATCATCATTGTAAAAACAATACATTTCTCAGCTCAGCATCGAAGCTAAGAAAAACTATGATCTGTTCGAGTCATTACAACCGTGTCGATTCGGGACGGTTAATTTTCAGTGTTTTTTTTTTTCACAAACGAGTAAAAGTTGAGTAGTGCTGGACGGCGATTTTTCGTACCACTACCGGCGGCCGTAGAAAGGGAAAGGGGCCTCTCGTGCCGCCGCCACCGCCGGTAGAAGAAATAGACAGTGGAACCGGACCACCGCCGCCTCCTCTTCCATCTGCTCCGTCGACGTGTCCTCCACTCGCCCGCGCATCGTCGACGTCGCGTCGTCATCGTCGACGCGTTGTCGTTTGCCGCCGAGCCGCCTCGCACGCATAAGCACCGGGACGTGTTGTGTAATGCGAAGGGTGGAGGCGGGAAGAAGTGGCGGAGGTGAACGTGGAGGAAGAGGAGGAAGGAAAAAAAAACGTACACACAATACGATTATTGCGCGTGCGCACTAAACACGAACCAGTTGCGTGTCGAAATAACCACCGCCGCCGCGTCCTCGACGAGCCCCGAGTATTATTATTATTATTATTATTATTATTACATATTATATCCGCGGCACTGCTCGCGGTACACCGTCGGTCACCGTCGTGTGTGTCACTGTGAGTTACTTTCGGGTACAAGTGTGCGACGTCTGACCCGGGCTCAAGAGTGCGCGTATACAGTGTCCACAATATTCTCTGTCCCGTCTGCTGTGTTTTATTGTTTGTTTTGTTATTTTCTTGTCGTCTCGTCCGTGCGCTCGACCGCCAAAGACACCCCGAAACCGTCACCCGAACAGGTGTCGTCGTCGACGCCACCGTTGCTGTGTTTGTCTACGGAAGGGTGTTTTCGATTCCACCACCGTGTTCCGTCGATGACGCCCTAGCGTTACGGGGGTGGGGACCGTCGCGCAAGGGTTTAACGCCCCCTAGATCTTTTTTGTGAAAAAAATCAAAAAAAGCCGCCCTGTGTTCGTTTTTTTAATTTGCTTCTTCTGGTATTTTTTTTTTTTTTATAATTTAATAAGATAATTCGTTTTGCCGGTGCGTCCGTTCTTGTCTTCCTCAGTGCGTGTACAAGTGCTACTCGGCCCAAGTGCTGTTCGGTTTCCGCCGTGTGTTCGTCTTATAGCTTCCGTCCGCCCGCCGGAACTGAAAGAAATTAATAAATAATGATTGACGACGTCTGCGGCAGTTACTGTTTTGGATTACCGTTGTACGCGGTAAGTACGATGATTTACAAAATACCCTACTTTGTGTCGATAGCGTTAAAGACCTTTAGTTCTATGTATAAGTAAAATATTGCCCAGACGGGCTGTTATTATTTTCTGAGAGTTTACACTGTGGGTCTTATCTACTTTGTCGGAGATTACAATATACCCGTTTTGAGTTTTGTAGGAATTTACACACATTCGGTAATCCGATGTCCGTGGGGAAGGGGGAAAGCGTAAAGGGTAGGTTAAGGTACTCTAGGAAACTCGCCAACTAATATACGCTGTACTTTGTATATGGTTATCTCCGGCGTTGCTCGGGGTAAAAGGATGAGCACGGACAAGGTTCTGGCTCCGGAAAGTCTCTTACTTAGGTACTTTAAACGTGTGTCCCTCGTACACAGATCACATTAAAATCTTACAAAAAATAAAAAAATAGTTATTATTATTTAATGTAATAATACATAATAATAATTATTATTTATTATTATACGGTTGGACAGAGATAAAAGTAAGAAGAAGATAACTTATTCCTTGCGTTTTGGGTTATGTTTATTTAAAAAATACTATTATTGGTATCTAAATTTAATGTTCAATGTTAAATGGGGGAGTAGGTTAAGTGCCTTCATTTCTTTTAGGCTTTAATTTTATTAAGTATAGTTTAATATTTCTAACTGATCCTAACCTTTTTTTGTGTGGAAAAAATCAAGAAACCTGGCGGACCTCTTCGCATTACTCCCCCCCCCCCACCGGTCTCCATCGTTTATTTAAGATGTACAACCATTGTTTGTTGGGTGGCGGTCGGCAGACAGCCCTCATCGGCCTTACACTCACAAAGTCAATCTTATCCTAACCTAACTCAACCCAACCCAACCCAACCTAATCGAAGTACCATACGGATCCATGTAAGACGAACAGTCCCCAGCGTTCTCTTTTGTGAGCACACACATTATTGATACATGTCCTGGGCCCAGTTCCATCGAATATTTTTTAAGTGTTAAACGAACCTATATATCGATTAAAACGTTGGTTAACGCTAAATCATGGCTCGGCGATTTAAACATTCTACTATTGAGCTATTAAGATTTTCATTTGTGGTAGGTCCGAGTGTTCGTGGACGCGCACTGGGACTTGTATAATATGCGTTTTTTAAGAGTGAAAGCCTCTCAACATAGAAAGCGGTAGGTAACGTGATCGCGATAGTTTTTGTAGTCTACCAAGTCACCGGGGTCCATATATTTCATAAAAAGTAATTTTTTTTTTACAAAAATACATTAGTGGGTACATATATATTATATAGCAGCGTGTTTTTTTTTTTGAGGGATCCAAACGGTTTTCTTTGTGTTTCACATCGACCAAACCTGTTAAATATATGCGCCTGATTAACGTGGGTAAGCCGTACACATAATACAACACTGTCCTCGCCGCCGCCGCCGTCGTAGTCCAATGGTTTAGAAAACGAAAGTGAATATTTGAATATGGTTGTTTCCGTCGCACGCTGTAATAGCCCGAACCTTTTTTTATTTTTATTTTTTATTTAATCGTACCGGTGTCCTTGTAATACATGTGTGTGTGTGTGTGTGGACCTATTAGGTATACTACCGACTGTAGCAATTCAGATGCGAAGAGGAAAAGGGGGGGGAGGATGGAAAACGAAAACGTTAAAGCGCCCAGGTACGATATTATTATTATGTGTTAATCCACATTATACACGTCGCGTGTAACACTCGGCACAATAATATAATACTATATACATATCGACGGTGATCCGGTCGCATAATATTAAGTGAAAAGTCCTTCGGACTTAGGTCGTCTTCAAGAACTTTGCGGCAAACGTGTTTTTAATGGCGATACGTTATGTATGTGTTTTTCTCCGACCGGGTATGTATGTAAGCGCGCCTAACCTTAAAATCGTCTCTCGACCTTAACACCGTCGTTGTACAATACCGTCTAGGTACAAATTAAATATTCCAACATATTTTTACCCGAAACTTATCTATTAATAACATATTGGCGTACACGAAAAAAAAAGGGCTAATTTTTTGTAGACACCATATTTTGTTCGTCTATATTTTTCCCAAATGGAAAAAAAATGCAAAATCTAAGATTTCAACGCACCGTACGCGTGTTATCGGTCTAATAGTCATGATGAAGATGATAAAAAAAAAAAAAAAACAATAAACTCAGTAATGCGCGTGATAAACCCAAGAACAAAACAAATCGCACACACACATACTTATGCAAATAATAAGCACATGACACCTATAATATTACTATCTAATCGTACACTCACACGCACAAACACTGTGCACACGCTGTATAATATGCATTGACCTAATTCTAGTGCACGGCACACGCGGCGATTGCGCCATCACCGACTGTGTTCCGCGGAAATAAAACCACGCTCCAAGTCCAATACAACATGTTATGCTCAATATACAACACTTTGTCAGCGCATAATTAAAATTGTACATATTTACATAAGTTTTCAAGTGCGATCCGATCCGGCAGAAATAAATCTAGAATGGCTCCGGCGAAAAGCAGCCGACGTCCCCCTGATCTGCGTGGGAGTTGTTTATTTGCAACCAAAAGACAAGAAAAGATTATTGCCTATTGCGCAGTACGTGGCCGACATTGAAATGAGATGTTTGTCGTGACCATAATATCACCAGCTGGCCGTCAGCTTAAACACCGTAAACGGTCGTGACGAACTTAGGTACTATTTATGAGCACTCGAAGGGGACGTTAGCAAGTAGAACCGGATCAAAGTGCGTCGACAGAGCCGAGCGAGTCGGAACCAAGAGTATCGACGGACTTAGGATTAACTGTAGGCCCCGTTCGCTTAGTTTACACACTGCATTTGATGCGCCGGTTGATTGTCGGTAACCCAAGACACAAAGGAACGCCAATGTTTGGCTATAGCATTTTGTCGACTCTCGCGCAGTTGCTGATGAGTTGCGGGTATCGTGGAAAATATACATGCATCAGCAATGGCCAATGGAAATACTCGAAATACGTACACTATTCGTGTAGGACCAATAAAAGTTTTTCGACAACACCGGCCAAGTAGGTATCACCTGACACCGATGCCCTGGCAAAGCATTACAACAATACGCTCCCTGGCAATTTAGCGTTAAGTCCTCCACGCCATATTTTCTACGTACGCGTAACACAGTGTGGTGTTTGTCAATATTTTGATCGCCTGACTCGACCAAAGAGATGACGACGATAAGAGAGGAGAATATAATACAATTGCTGCAACGTGGCTGCCATTGTTATCGCGTCTATTGGGAGACGACCGTCTTCCGGTTGGCCGCAAAAAAAAAAAAAAATTAATAGTTACAACCAAAACGGTCGAAGAAGAGTGGAAACGCCGGAGAGTGAGAGTGAGCCAGAGATAGAGAGAGAGCAAGAGAGTGTACATGAGTGTATCACACACACGCTTTATTACATGGCATAATATAATGTATTATATTCTCTGTACATGGCGATGATAACCTCTTGGCAATCGCCGTTTCAAGGTCTGCCGACGTTATAATAATGTTGTGTACATTGTACATGTGTATATATATATACACTAGTTATCCACCTCCACCGTCTCTGTGAACGGATGCAGCAAAATTTTAAGTATGTATTTTTTTTTTTGCCTGTACCAATTCGTGCAATCAGAACGATTCGGACTGACCGCCGGGAAAGCTGCTAAACCGCGGTAACGTTTTCAATGCAAACGGTTATATATTTTAATACAACGTTGCACATAGTATAAAAATATATATACACACATGCTTATTGGGTAACGTGATGTCCGCGTTGGAAGGAAAGGATCAGTCGCACAGAGTCGCCCGTACTCTGTACGAGACTGTTGGGCAATCTCTTGTTTTACAACCGTATCTGCTGTTCGCCGGACGCGTTATAATGTTATCGGAGTTACACATTTCACACGGCAGTGTACTCGCGTAGAATTGTCTGTACTCACCTGTATTATAAACTGTGTCGCAATAGCGAAATCTACACAACCACCGCAAGCGTATACGTTGTATACCACGTTTTTGTGTTATCCAAAAACCGTATCCGTACCTATACAGTATACTAATGTTGTAGGTATATATATGACACTCGAGTGTGTTCATAAGCTTTTAAAACATAATCACTTGTCCCGTCGATACTGATAAATCGCGATTGGAAATATATTATATCCTCGCCCACTACGGTCCTATCTTCGCGTTGCTCCTAGAAATCGTACGGGAGTCCTTGTCCCTACAATAAAGGGACATTCGCCTGCTGTACATTGGGTTTTTAAAGGGTTCTGATACCGTTAAAGAGTTGTCATTCTCGCATAGTGAGGAGATTATCTTAGAACCTCAGATAGGTTGCGTTTAGTCGGTGAACTTATGAAAGAACCCGTGTTAACTTTTGTCTCCTTTCTCCAAGCACCGTCCACGGTCCATCTGTATACGATTCTCAAGTGCTAATTCTTCGAGCTCGTGTCTCAAACACATATTATTTCTGTCATGCTACTCCCGTCTTCTCTATTTCATAGTCCATACACATAACACAATAATGTCACAGCCTATCGATTATCACTGGCTTTACTGCTGTTTTCATGCAATCGTTTGCTAACACAAATCCGCTTTTCCCGGACACGGCGGTCACGCTCGGTCGGTGTATGGTACAGTGCGACGCTTGTTGTTAGTTTTCCTATTAGGTAAAACAGGTAATCGTCGTTATCAACGGTAACCGTCGTGTTGCGCAGTGTGCACCGATTTGCAATCGAGTAATGCCGCTTTTAAAGTCTACCGGTTGTGCGGCCTATATGGCTTAGGGACAACAACAATAATAATAATAAGTTTAACCGCCGTCGGTCGTATGATAATCGATCCGGTCGGTGGGATCATATTATGGTATATTATATTCTCTTCACGGGTACAATAATAATCCCGTGCAGTCCCGGAAAACGTAGCAGCCGGTAAACATATCTGCCGGAGAACTTTTACTATATTTTTCGGAGCTTA